GAAATTTCCATGCCTCTTGGCCTTACCATGCCCTACGATCCCTAGACGAGAGCCTCTGAAAGGGATTGAATATACATTACGAGGATTTGTTAGCATGCCTTCCTCCATTCTGACTGGACATACTCCATCTCAGCTACCCAGGACCCTCCCAAAACCCACTGATCTGACCAGGCCTAATCACAACTGACCCTTAAGTCCTGGCCTTTCCTTACACTTCACTTCCTACTGCCTGCAGCAGTAGCCTTAAATCTTAGTCTGATCACAATGGAATCCCCATTCTCACCATTCACAGGAACCAGAGTGCAGAGTCCTTCCCATCCCCACTCCCAATCCTATAAACAAAGCTCCTCAAACAAAGGCTGCTACTCTCTCCCCCATCTCTCCCATGAGTGCTAGCCTGTCAGCCCCCGTTTTAATAAAGTTTTGTTCTATGTGACTCAATGTCCACATGGTTTCCTGGTCTGCAACTTTCATTGGTTCTGCAACTCAGATCTCCTGGTGGTCCTTGTTCTTCCCCTTGAGGACTTCAGCTGCCCTGGGGACCTTATGCTAGTCTAAGGCCCACACAGAGAACTGCTGAGGCAGTTTCTGCCTGAGTGCTCTTTCTGTATCCACCTGCCTTTCTTCCCAGGTGAAGGACCATTCAGTGTTCAGGCTCAGATTTCACCTTCTTGTAGAGATTCACTCTCCAATGGTTAGAAAATCTTCATGCCAAGTTTGAGCACTTCTCAAAGCCTAGGCCACTACCTGGTCACAATAGCCTGGGGATCCAGCAATTGCACAGTGACAACCCCTTTTATTGCCTCCCTTTGTACTGAGGACCCAGCAATTGTGGGTATAACCCTTCTTTCTGCCTGCTCCCTTTGTTTAGTTGACCATAGACTTTATGGGCTAAACTGTAGATCTTCAATGTCAACTATGCACACTCACCACAGGAGGGTCCCAGTCTCAAATACTCCAGGATTCTCCTCTGGGCTGCCTTTTATACCACCTAGAGGCCGTTAAGCTTTTGTCCAATCTTAAGCTTCATGAACTGATAAGCATATGTCATCAAATTTGGCCCCAATATTCACCGGACAAAGTGTGCCCTGGATATAAGACAGAGGCAATGTCCTAAGGACCTCCCTTCTAGGTTCCCTCTCAAGGCTCTCCATCCTGGCTTAAAATTCTCTTAGCTAAAACTATCTGTCTTCCTCTCTCCTTTTTCTAGGCCTTTTTCCACTTTCTCTCTACTTACTACATGCTTTTCCTCTGGAGTTGGTAAACTCTCTTATCCTCTTTAAGCAAACTCCCTTTATGTGTTCCTGCCATGCCTGTGTGGCTGACACAGGATGGAGTGGTTGCAAGCCTCCAAATCTAAAGCAACTTTCTTTGTCTTGCAAATGAAGTCACTGAAACAAGCTAAGAACTCTGCTTGAACTCCATCCCTGACAGTGGCTGGCTGGCACACGCTGAGACCACCTTCTCCCTTTTACTTCTCTCCTTTTCCCACCCAAAAATTTCATAATGGGAGCAGTTAGACAGATAGCATATCTAAAACCAACCAGTCCTTTTTCTTTCCTACATCTACTCACTTCAGAATCTGGATTATTAATTTCTCCTTTAAAGACAAATTTAAGGATTTAAAAGGCTGTGTTAGCCCAATGAGCTCCTTCCAATAGCTTAGCATGCTCCTTCCCACTTCCACAGCTTGGCATTCTCCCTTCCTAGATAACACTAGGCCCATTTAGTAAAGTGAGTAAACAATCAGCCTCCAACCCCCACCCCTTTCCCTTGAGATGGCACTCCTCTGGAGCAGCTACCACCAAATAAGATAGCAATAGCCCCCTAGAATGACTTTCAGGACTGGGCAGCTAAAAAGCATGTTATCTAGTACTTGGGCAGCAGCCATCAATCCTAGCCCACTATGATGAAGCCCCTTGTTTCACACCAGCATCCACCAGGATATCCAACTCCTAGCCTCTCCTAGGCTCAGTAGGTTATATAGGTCACCTCAGACAATAGCTGGTGCTTCTTCTCACTTCTCCCTTGTGAGAAAGGGTCTTGCTTGTCCCTTTATGAGCAATAAACCTTTTCTTTGATATTTGTACCTCGATGTCTGCGTGGCTTTCTGGCAAAGCCTAATTTACTCTCATAGGCGGGATGTGACACTGTGGCTCAAAGTGTTAGAGCACTAGCCTTGAGAAAAAAAGCTCAGGGGCAGCATCCATGCCAAGCCATACCAGCAACAAGAGCTAGACCTGCAGGACAAAGCCAATTCTGTCAACAAGGAATCATGGAGGAAGAGGGCGTGGTGTCACACCCTAAATCGTCACTTTGTGCTCATCATTTAAGGAGAGCAAGAGAAAAACAATAACATTAATAAATTTGCCCATTTAATGTTTGTAACTGCCCACCTTCTAACTGCATAGGAATTTACATTCTTGTTCTTGTTTTGCACTATTTCCATTTATTTTGAGTCTTCAACTCAGGGCAGTTAACCTGTCAACTCCCAGGTTTCCCCATGCATACTCTATAATCCAAATATCTACCAAGATCTCCCACTGGGCTCTTATCCACTCAAATCCAGCCCTAGACTGATTGGTTATATTCCACCAATCCACCATATTTCCCTTACCCAGTTGCTAGATACCTAGGCACTCCCTGCCTGCTTCCAGTCCAGTTACATGGAAATTCCTCTTTCCCTCTAATAGGCTACAACTGGATTCATGCTGCAAATAAAACTTTTCTTGCTTATGCCCAAGTGTGTTTTCCTGTCATTCATACCAACTGGTCCTACCTCCTTGTCAGCCTTTTGCATGATCTCACCTTTTCAAAAGTTTCTCTTTAACAGGATAATAGCTTTCATTCAGGATACCACTTGGGAACAAGTTTAGGTCACCCTATTACTTCAGACCAACCAGAAACTTCATACACTACCCTGCCATGTCCAGCATAGACCTGGACCCTGTGGATTCCTCAGTGCCCCCAGGCTGGCAGAAAGTGGCCAAAAATGATTGTGATTCCTGTTGGCTCTGGTACCTTTAAATATTGCTTTTACCTCTTCCTGTGATCCTAAGACAAAGCTGAAAAAGTCTCACTTCTCCCTAAGTGTACAGGGAATTATATACTATGTTATACGTCCAAAATTGAGAAGGCTTTCTCCATTTCTAGCCTGTGCTCAACCAAGGTTTTGTTATATCAGTTATCAGGAACACTATTCTGGTGTGAATACTTCTTACTATTCTGTATGGGACCTAGCATACACTTATACTGTAGTAACCCCAGTTCCCAGACAGAAGTAATTCTCCTCCTTCCTCCTTTGGTAGGAGGAAGCCTGGAAACTTTTGTAACATCTGTAAAAATAGTCTCAGAAGGTCTGTAACACTGAATAATTTACAACAACCATTAGCCTACAGGCTAAAGCTGTGAAGACCACAGTGCCCCTTAACCTACTACAAACTCATCTACACTCTTTAGCAGATGTACGAAGCCAAAGGGCCCTGGAACTTCTCAATATCAAAGGAGTTGTGGGAATAGATGAGAAAATGGTTTTAGGCCTTCGGCTCTGCTAGATTCCTTGCTTCCTGGCTCTTACCACTCATTGGCCCTCTAATGGCCCTACTAACACTGGCATTTTGCTACCCTGTCCTTTTAAATGCATACATGATGTGCTTCTGAATGAGCCAAATTCTTCATCAACCAGATGTTTCTACACAGGCAGGTATGGAAGCTACAGCCAACTTTCTACCTACAAGTCCAATGGATGTTCAGACCTTTAGGAAAACACCCCATAGGGCTGTTACCCCTTCTCAGCAGGAAGCAGCTTCAGAAGATTGACCATCAGACCTTATCCTGGCTAATAACAAAAAAGGGGGGAGAAATATTGGCAGGTGGATGACTTGCTGGGGACTGTAGCTTGTTCTGCCTGAAGTGTCTAAGTCTCAAGGTCCTTTTGTCCTGGCCTGATCACAAGGCTCAACTCCCTTACCATAAATTTCCCTATTCTATCCCCCTGATTATGCAGTTCCTGTGTTCCTATTCTCTAGCTTAATCACCACTAATCCTCTTTGTCTTGATAAAGTGAGACTGCCCATCTCCCTGGCATTAAACTTGTTCTTCCTTTTCAGACATGTGTGGTATGCGTCATCTGGTCAAGACATTTAACACCTGCAATCCTAGCTACTCAGTAGCTAGGGTTGATACTGGTTACTCAGAAGGATGATATCTGATGATATCTGAGAATCTAGTTTGAAGCCAAACTGGAAGGAAAATCTCTGATAGTGTGATCTCCAATTGACCACCCAAAACCCAGAAGTAGAACTGTAGCTCAAACTGTGGAATGCTAGCATTGAGCAAAAATGCTCAGGGATATAACTTAGATTATATCCCTGCATTGGCAAAAAAAAAAGCAAAGAATTAAGGAAAAGGTTATGGAGAAGAAGTGAGAAACAGAGAAAGAGAGAGAGAGATAGGACATTTTATATAAAATTTCTTGGAAATTATATATGATGAGAAACTGAAGAACTCCAAAATAGAAATATGGGCAACCACTCAGAATTGTGATTAACATCTGTTTCATGTTTGGTTGTGGTAGAAATTTTCCCACTAACCAGCTATCAGAGCGCTGGGAAAGCCATGCACTGGTGGTTCACACCTGTAATCCTAGCTTCTCTGGAGGCTGAGATCTAAGGATCATTGTTCAAAACCAGCCAGGGCAATAAACTACTCAATAATAAACTACTTTAAAAAAGCTGGAAGTGGCACCATGGGTCAAGTGGTAGAGCTTTAGCATTGAGGAAAAAGAGGCTCAGAGACAGCACTCAAGTCTTGAGTTCAAGTGTCAGGACCCAAAAGAGGGGGTGGCAACAAAAAACAAAGAAAGGGATATGAGAAGGATCATCACAGAATGACAAATGTTAGCAAGACTCTCTCCACTTCATAAAAAATGGGGCCAGTCCTTATGGCCCAATTACACAGGAGGCGATAAGGGGGAACCCTAGTTTAAAACAATAATAATAGTACTCTCTTTGGCAGCACATATACTAAGCCTGAAATGATATAGAGAAGATTCGCATAGGCCCTGCTCAGGGATCACATGCAAATTCATGAAGTATTCCAAAATTTTATGCTAGGATGGTAAGGGGAAACAAAGGAGGAGGCACCAATGCGGGATAAGAAATGTACTAATTACCTTGCTCATGCAATTGTAACATCTCTGTAGGATATTTTCACAATAAAAAAATAAAGTAATCAAGATCTCACCAAAAAATTATGCTAATAAGTTTGAGTCTCTGGATGAAATGGAAAAATTTCTAGCAGATATTGATATACCTAAACTAATCCAAGATGAGATAAACCAACTTAACAGACCTATATCAAGCACTAAGAGACCTCCCATCCAAGTAAAGCCCAAGACCAGATGAGTCCTGCTGAATTTTGCAAGGCCTTCAAAACAGAACTCACACCAATACTCCTCCAACTCTTCAATGAAATGAAAAATGAAAGTTCACTACAACTCCTTCTATGAAGCCATCATAACCCTCATCCTAAAACCAGACAGGTATTTATCAAAGTCTGAGTCAAGCAGAAAAGGCCAGATAAGGTGATGTTAGGGAAATGAACCCTAAGATATATATTCAAATGTTTTTTTTCTTTCATGCGATTGTTTCTAACACATTTATAAGATTATTTCTTTGTTGCTTTGTATGTCCCTCCCCCACAGTATAACTCCTGCTTTTACTGTATTTGATGTTGGTATAATTTGTGGAGGGGAAGGGGAAAAACAAATCGTTTAAATAGGGATACAGGTGGACCCATTGCAACAATGAGATGTACAAGTCATTATGTCGAAAACAAACTTTACAACTTTTGTGCGGGGGTGGGGAGGACTGGGGGGGGGGCGGAGGGAGGATGGGAATGGATGGGAAGGGGAAACAAAGGAGGAGGCTACAATGCTTGATAAGAAATGTACTCATTATCTTGCCCATGTAATTGTAACTCCTCTGTACAGTATTTTCACAATAATAAATAAATAAATAAATGAGAACTCTAGACCCATTTCTTTGATGATCATCGATGCATCACTTCTCAACAAAATTCAGGCCAATCGACTTTAACAAATCATCAGAAAATCATATACCATGATCAAACAGGATTCATCCCAGGCATGCAAAGCTCGTTCAATATATACAAATCAATTAATGTAATACATCACATCAACAAGAACAAGGATAAGAATAACATGATTATCTCAATAGACAGAGAAAAACATTTGACAAGATCCAACACCTCTTTATGATGAAACCTCTAGGAATCCAGGGAACATTTCTCAATACAATAAACACCATATATGACAAACCAATAGCTATCATTAACCTTAATGGCTAAAGCTAAAGCCATTTCCTCTAAACTCAAGAAAAAGACGAAGATGTCCACTCTCTCCACTCCTCTTCAATTTAGCATTAGAATACCTAGCTATAGCAATAAGACAAGATGCAAACATAAAGGGGATCCAAATAGGGAAAGAGGAAATAAAACCCTCCCTCTTTGCAGAAGACATGATCTTATATTTAAGTACCCCATGGACTCTACTTACAAGTTACTTGAGCTGATTCAAAACTTTGTCAAAGTAGTAGGGTATAAAATTAAGCCTCAAAAATCAATGGCTATTCTGTATGCCAATAATGAGAAGGAGGCAGCTGAAATCAGGAAAGCATCTCATTTTGTAAGAACCCCACATAAAATAAAATACCTAGGAATTAACTTCACTCAAGAAGGGAGGACCCTCTATGATGAAAACGTTAAAACCTGAACAAGGAAATTAAAGCAGAACTAAGGAAGTAGAAAAACCTGCCATGCTCCTGGATTACTAGGATTAACATTGTGCAAATGGTAATACTACATGAAGCTATCTGCAGATTCAATGCAATACTTATCAATATCCCAACCACATTCTTCAATGAAATACAAGAAGCAATCCAAAATTTATATGGAACAATAGAAGTTCCTAATTAGCAAAAATAATCCTTAGTGTTGGGGGGGGGGCTGCGGGGGGAGGCTGGGAAGGGATGTGAAGGGTAAACAAAGGAGGAGGCTGCAATGCTTGATAAGAAATGTACTCATTATCCTGCCCATGTAATTGTAACCCCTCTGTACAGTATGTTCACAAAAATAATAATAATAAAAAAAATAATCCTTAGCAGACAGAGCAGTGCTGAGGAATAGTAATCAAAAGAGCTTGGTACTATACTGGCACAAGAACAGATCTGAAGACAAATGGAATAGAACCAAAACCCGGAAATGAATCTGCAGACCTATAGCCACCTAATCTTCAATGAGGGAGCCAAAAAAATAGAATGAATTTTTTTCTGTTTTATTTCTTCTTTCTTCCTTTCTTCTTCTTCTTCTTCTTATTTTAATTTTATTTTATTGAATCTAAAATATATCTATTTATTTATATATAAATATATCGATATATATAAATCTATCTATTTATATATCTATTTATTTATATCTAAAATATACTTAGGATTCAAAAAGTATATCCTCCAAAAACAAATCCTCAAAGAAATACCTGCCCCCCTAATCAACAAGTGAACTAAAGACTTAAAGAGAGACTTGTCTGAAGAGGAAATAAGAATGTCTAATAAAATGCAAATCAAAACAACACTGAGATACCATCTCATCCCAGTTAGAATGGCTATAATCAAGAACTCTAATAAAACAGATGCTGGAGGGGATGTGCACAGAAGGGAACCCTACTGCATTGTTGGTGGGAATGTAAACTTGTTCAACCACTCTGGAAAGCAGAATGGAGGTTCCTCAAAAGACTATACATAGATCTCCCCTATGACCCAGCAATCTCACTTTGGGGCATATATCCAAATAAAAATAAACAAGGCAATACTAAAGCAACCAGCAAAACTAGGTTTATCACAGCATTATTCACAATAGCTAAGATATGGAACCAATCCCATAGACTCCACTCCCAACTTACTCAAGCTGATTCAAAACTTTGGCAAAGTAGCAGGTTATAAAATTAACCAACAATGAGAAAAGTGTGGCTGAAATTAGGAAAGCAACTCCATTTGCAATAGCCCCACAAAAAATAAAATACCTAGGAATTAACTTAACCAAAGAAGTGAAGGACCTCTATGATGAAAACTTTAAAATCTTGAAAAAGGAAATCAACACAGAACTTAAAAAATTGCAAAACCTCCCATGCTCCTGGATTGGAAAGATTAACATCGTGAAAATGGCAATACTTCCCAAGGCTATCTACAAATTCAACACAATACCTATCAAAATTCCACCCTCATTCTTCAAGGAAATAGAAGAGGAAATCCAAAAATTCATATGGAACAATAAAAGACCCCGAATAGCAAAAACGCTCCTGAATGGAAAGAACACTGCTGGAGGAATATCAATACCAAATTTCAAACTCTACTATAAAACCATAGTAAACAAAACAGCTTGGTATTGGCATAAGAACAGACCTCAGGACTGATGGAATAGAATTGAAAACCCAGAAATGAACCTACAGACCTATAGCCATCTAATCTTCGATAAGGGAGCTAAAACAATAGAATGGAAGAAAGACAGCCTCTTCAGTAAATGGTGCTGGCAAAACTGGTTAACTACATGTAGAAAACTAAAGCTAGATCCTTATATATCACCCTGCACCAGAATCAACTCCAAATGGATCAAAGACCTTGAACTCAAAGCAGACACTCTGAAAACATTACAGGATGGAATAGGAGAAACCCTGGGTCTCCTTGGCTCAGGCCGAAATTTTCTAAATAGAGACCTGGAAACACAACAAATCAAAGAAAGGTTGGACAAATGGGATTACATAAAGTTGCAGAGCTTCTGCATGGCAAAGGACATAGCTAGCAAGATCAATAGAAAGCCCACGGATTGGGAGAAGATCTTTACTAGCCATACGACAGACAAGGGTCTCATATCTAAAATATACTTGGAACTCAAAAAATTAAATCCCCCAACAACCAATCCTCAAAGAAACAACTGCCCAATAAATAAGTGGGCGAAAGACTTAAAGAGAAACTTCTCTGAAGAAGAAAGAAGGATGGCCAATAGACACATGAAGAAATGTTCAACATCCCTAGCCATAAAAGAAATGCAAATCAAAACAACATTGAGATATCACTTCACTCCAGTTAGAACGGCAAAAATCAAGAACTCTAACAACAACAGATGCTGGAGGGGATGTGGACAGAAAGGAACCATACTTCATTGTTGGTGGGAATGTAAACTTGTTCAACCACTTTGGAAAGCAGTATGGAGGTTCCTCAAAAGACTTCACATAGAGCTCCCCTATGACCCACCAATCCCACTTTTGGTCATTTACCCAAATGTTTACAAACAAGACCACACTAAAGCAACCAGCACAACTATGTTTATTGCAGCATTATTTACCATAGCTAAGATATGGAACCAACCCAGATGCCCCTCAGTAGATGAATGGATCAAGAAGATGTGGTATATATACACAATGGAATTCTATGCCTCCACCAGAAAGAATGATATTGCCCCATTTGTTAGGAAATGGAAAAACTTGGAAAAAATTATATTAAGTGAAGTAAGCCAGGCCCGAAGAAACATAGGTCCCATGGTTTTCCTTATTTGCAATATCTAGTATATGTATGAGTCAAGCGGAAAAGGTCAAATAATGTGATGTCAGGAAAATGAACCCTTAGGTATGTATTTTAATGTTTTTTTCTTTCATGCATGTGTTTCTAATGCATTTATAAGATTATCTCTTTGTTGCTTTGTATGTCCCTCCCCCACAGTATAACCCCTGCTTTCACTATATTTGATGTCAGTATAACTTGTGGAGGAGATGGGGAAAAACCAGTTGTTTAAGGATACAGGTGGACCTGTTGCAACAATGAGAAGTACAAGGTGTCATGTCCAAAAGGAGCTTTACAACGTCGGTGGGGGGGGGGGGGGGAGAAGGATTGGGATTGGGGGGGGAGGGGGGAGGCTGGGAAGGGAGGTGAAGGGTAAACAAAGGAGGAGGCTGCAATGCTTGGTAAGAAATGTACGCATTATCCTGCCCATGTAATTGTAACCCCTCTGTACAGTATGTTCACAAATAAAATTAAA